ACCCTATAATCTCAACTTAGGTCAGAGTGTTACCAACTGAAGGCCTCTAAGTCCGGCATCATATCTATGGGGGATCTTCCAGTTGGTGTTACCGGGGCGCCCAGGCCTCTGTGTGCTGACTACTGGTCATTGACTTAACAGGCAGAAACCAGGATGTATGCAAGCTCTGGTGGCCGGAAGTTAAAGGGTCATAACAGGACACTCAAGACAAAGTCTTTAGAGATAACCTGATTGACCTCTCATTAGCATCATCCAAAACACGTAGGAAATGTCGGTCTCCATAGCGCTGAAGTCATCCACATGCAATGTCTCCGCGTGCTTGCTTTCAGTCTTGAAGAGAATTTAAAAATCAAACAAAAACAAAAATCTTGCCTTCCCACGAACTCCTAATCCCCACCCAGAGCTTCATCCGTGCTTAGCTAAACCCGTTTCTCTTTGTCTCGGAGGGGGGCTTGTTTTGTTGTACCTAAAGGACATATGTGATATGTTATTACCGAGAAGAAATTAGAACTCAAAATAGTCAGAAGGGAATGGCCTAAAATACATAAGTTGGCCCAGAATCTCATGCCAATATGTAATATATAATGTACCAGAGATGGGAAAGGGGGTCGATTTCTGTTAAGCTCAAGGCTTGATACTAGAGGCCCAGTGCACGAAATTCGTGCACGGGTAGGGTCCCCTAGTGGCTGCCGACTGCCAGCCAGGGCCTCCTTCATTGTGTGCCACCCCCTGGTGGTCAGTGCACATCATAGCAAGCAATCAAACTCCCAAAGGGATACTTTGCATATTAGGCTTTTATATAGGTAGATGTTGCATTGACCATACACGGCGTCTGAAGGGAATGACCCCCAGAAAAACAAATGTGGAAGGAGGCTGAAATGGTCACTGATTAAGTGACTCTGAGGATTCACAGTGCCTTCCCAGGAACGCATGTGATTTGAGGTGAGAGCAATTCCTAGGAAAGATGTGTGAGTGAAGAATGAGAGGTAGATGTCATGATAGACTCTCTAACGTATTTGTCTGACTCTCTCTAATATTTCCACTGAGAATAAAACTTAAGTGAGTTTGATTGTTTCTTATGTTGGAGGGCTTTTGAAAATTATCTAATTTGTGAGAAGCACACCTGGGGTTTTTCAATGGGCACCCCGGGAAACATAAAAAGACGCACATATACACACAGAAATGGGGAGGTTTCACAAGATCCTTAAATAGGAACATATATCTAGTCCAGGGTGATAAAAGAAAATGTTTATGAATTAAAAATGACACACTGTTCTTTAACACTATTTGGATATTTCCTAATGCTTGAAAATAATCTTATATTTAAAAATGCTACAAAAGCATTCTTTACAGCCAGCTATAATGAATCTATTTTCATTTATCTGTATGGCTTTTCATTTATGTCCTTCTAAATGTGAGTTTCAGTCATTAGTTCAATCAATGGCAGAAGAGTAACGGATGATAGAAGGAATGCTTTGTTTTTCCATCACCTTCCTGAAGAGAGTTGAGGCGTTTTTGTCGTTAGATGCTTAGATGTGAAATTGTTTTTACGGAGTTATTGATGACTGTATCTACGCAGAGCCTAAGTGAAATTATAGTGTATTATGGAAGCAATCGCTTCCTCCCATTTTTCTGCATTATTGTACCATAGGAGCCACCTAAGCCCATTACCAAGCTGCCATGAATATTGCATCTCGCCTATAAGTCATCTAGGTTTTAACCAAATTAAGTCTCAACTACATGACTCAGATTTAGTATCTTCTGAACATAGCAATGTAATCTGTGACCACGGACTTAAGATAAGGAAAAACGGAGACACAGTGCCTCATGCACAGTGGGCATTCGATAAATATTTGTTAAGCGGAGGATAGAACCGGGACCTACTGGAAATCTCTGCTGTTTTTCTCTTATATGTGAATTAAGAGCTCCCAATCTATAACACTTTTATCATGTCATCAGCCCTGATGTATGAAATGATATTCTCGAAGGGAATTTGGAACGCACGTTAGAATAGAATAGACTAACACATTTTCTAAAAGAATAATGTACACTTTTAATCTACACCCATAGGCAATCAGCTTCTTAATGGTCAATATAGGTGAGCTGTTTTTCTAAAAAATCGCTTCACTGGCAAGGATTACTCCACAAATAGTCATAAACAGACTAGAGAATAAACACTTTTAAACAATAATGTTGAGTGCATTCCATTCATGTTTAGGAAACTATATCACCCATTATTAAGCAGGAACTATATCACCCATTATTAAGGAGGAACTATATCACCCATTATTAAGCAGGAACTATATCACCCATCATTAAGGAGAAACAATGTTTCTGAAGTCTCAACAATGAGTTCTACTTTCTCTAAATGTTTATAGTTTTACTTGGCAAGGAGTCTCGGACTTATCAAGCCATTGGTATGTTTTGTACCTTGAGCATCTAAGGCAGTGGTTTTCAACCTTCTGGCCCTTTAAATACAGTTCCTCATGTTGTGACCCAACCATAAAATTATTTTCGTTGCTATTTCATCACTGTAATGTGGCTACTGTGATGAATCGTCATGTAAATATCTGATATGCAAGATGGTCTTAGGCAACCCCTGTGAAAAGGTTGTGCGACCGCCAAAGGGGTCACGACCCACAGGTTGAGTACCGCTGATCTAAGGGAATTAACTTCCATCCACAAATGCTTAAGATAAAGTTAATCATTTAATTTAAATGGTGTTTTACACAGAAATACACTTACTTGGAATTCATCTCCACTAGGAAGATGGATGGATGGAAGGAAATGATTTGAATAAAAAAGACTAGTTTAGGCAACTGAATTTCTATCTGGATTATTATTTCATGCAATTACTTACCAGGGGCTTTTAAGAAACCCTCTTTTGGAAGGATTTAAAAAAGAAATCTGTTCCCTCTCCCTGGGACAGTGTAAGGGGGCCTTGCCTAAAGGTAGGGAAAAGAACTTTATTTTTGTAGTCATGCAAGTTTTAGAAGTTGGAATGGATTTTGAGTTCAGATTTGTGATTTTTCTCCACAATCAGTTAATCAGTTCTGTTAGGTAAACTATCATTGTTTTTAAGAAGGCCAAGAACCGCCCAGCCGGGTGGCTCAGTGGTTGAGTGTCGACCTGTGAACCAGGAGGTCACAGTTCGATTCCAAGTCAGGGCACATGCCTGGGGTGCGGGCTTGATCCCCAGTGTGGGGCGTGCAGGAGGCAGCCAATCAATGATTCTCTCTCATCATTGATGTTTCTCTCTCTCTCTCTTCCTTTCTGAAATCAATGATATATTAATCAATAATTATTGATCAAAAAATGTGCAGAGTGTATACGGGGATACTTATACACTCAACCAATCTTGAATAATTCCCTATTGCTTGTCCCATGAAATCTGAGCTGGTGTCTCCTATACAAGGTGACCCCAAACACTGACTGTACTCTCCAACATAAATGCCTTAGTTTCATCAGGACTACTTTATTATTCCCAATAGATTGATCAATATATCAATAAAATAGGCCAAAAACCAGTGTGTCTATTTTAATCATATAAACCTATTTTAATTCAATGGCTATATACTTACAGCCATAAATTCCTAAAATATTCAAGGGGACCCAGCCAGAAAGGGGTTATATTTGGAAAGTCTTGTGTGTTGTTGTGTGTTTTTTTTCTGGAATAATCCCTCTCACTTGTGGATTTTTTCATTGGTGGTTTTTTATTCCCATACATACTAAGGCCTTTTGTTTCAAACTCACCAACAGAGAGTCCCAGAGACTGTTCTCATGCTATTCCTGTTCGCTTTTCTAAATCCTAATGATTATACTATTAACCAGTCTCCACGACACAGTAAAGAAGCCAAGATATTACCTGTCAGGCAAGAATCCAATGCTACTGAGTGTGAAGAGTTAAATGCAAAACACAAGAACTCAAGTTGAGCCGTAACAGCGATAGCTGCCGTACTTCTCTCTCACCTGGGACTTCTTACGTGGGAAAAAACTAGTGAGTTATGCAGACTCGACGGGACATAAAGAAAGAAATTGTCCCGATGCTATTCGGTAATCAATTGGAGAGAAAAAAAAAATCAGTCAGTATCAGGTAATAAAATATGGGATTCGGGTAGAGCACCTGCCGGAGGATGTATCCTGCAGAAAAGGTTATTTTTCATGATTTACACGGGTTTTGAAAGAAGCTTGCGGAATGCCACGGGAGAAATGAAGACTTCGCCAGGCCTCACATTGTTCTGCAAGTGCTTCCCTAATGCTTGTTTATGTTGGGGGGGGAGGGGGGGTGGACAGTGAGGTGGAACGGTTATTGACCAGATTGATCATGGGAACAGATCTGCCGGCGGTAACCTTGTTTAATGATATGTTGCTGGGCTCAGCACCTTGCTGGAGCTGTGATTCCTCAGCGGCTGCGGCCGCGTGATGGATCGCGGCAGGAAGCTGAAGGCGCAATCACTCACCTGCTGTCAACGGCCTGGCCCCGCCTGTCACCTTCCCCCAGAAGTGGGCGGCCAGGCTGCCCACCCCTGGGAGACAGGAGGGCTGCCCGGAGCCTTGCACCTTCCTCTGTAGGGCATGGCTGCAAGTTTGGGGTTTTGATTTTTTTGTTTCCCCAAAAAATACTTGAGTCCTCTCCTACCTTAGGCTTCTCAACCTCTTCGTTGCACACACAGCTCTTTAGGGTTTATTTGAATGTGGCCAGAGACCAAGCAAGGCCTATTTACATCAGAAGATCTAAAGATTCAGGGAATATGATTATTTTCTAGAAAAACACGAAATTCTATTTTATGACATTTTTCTTTTTTTAAATACATTTTATTGATTTTTTACAGAGAGGAAAGGAGAGGGATAGAGAGTTAGAAACATCGATGAGAGAGAAACATCGATCAGCTGCCTCCTGCACACCCCCTACTGGGGATGTGGCCATAACCAAGGTACATGCCCTTGATTGGAATTGAACCTGGGACCCTTGAGTCCGCAGGCTGACGCTCTATCCATTGAGCCAAACCGGTTAGGGCCATTTTTCTCTTTTTAATCAATGCCTTAGTGTGGTAGAAGTTGCACAGGGATTGGGCATGGTGGTACCTGGATGGAGGTTACTGAGCTGGAAACTCTCAACTTGGTTCTGCGTTTTCATCTTGGCATGTCCAGCACCTCACACATAATTGTTTGCTCCAAAAAAAACCAGGGACCTGTGTAATTTGGTTTGAGAAAGGACAGAGTAGAATAAGGGGATACTTATACACTCAACCAATCTTGAATAATTCCTTATTGCTTGTCCCGTGAAATCTAAGCTGGTGTCTCCCGTACAAGGTGACCCCAAACACCGACAGTACTCTCCAACATGAATGCCTTAGTTTCGTCAGGACTACTTTGATTCCCACTATCCATGCTTATTCTTTTCCTCTGAACCAGCCCTTCTTCAGCCAGCCTGGTGCCACCTCATACAAGAAGTCCTCCTTGATTACAACAGCCTTTATTCGCCCCTTATTTCAGAAGTCAGTTCCTTCTTAATATTTGTGGTTCCAAGGATGCCGACTGCATCCTCAGCTCTAATACTGCCACTCGAAACCTGAACTAACTCATTAACACACTGATGGCAAATCTGGATTAGGGATAGACATACAAAATTTATTCATATTTTGCAAAAATGCTGGGGCAAAGATGTTCTCTTTTCCTATGCACGAGCAAGCACGCGGGTCTAAGAGCTTCTGCGGGACTAGGAGAAAGCTAGGCCTGGAATGAAGCTGGCACTTTTGAAAATAGGAAAAGAGAAGGAAAAAGACATTTGATGAATCACTGAGCTACTCAGGCCTTAACAGATGCCAGCCCAAAGACCACTCAGTTTTAACCTGAGTATGCTCTGGGTTTCAGCCAGTTTCTCTAGGATTCTGTTACTTGCAACTAAGAGCAGTTCCATTTTCTTGGAACTCCATTTTCACTTAGGACAAACAGACACTTCATTTTGGCTTTCCTATATTTTGAATAAGCACCCATCCTCTCTTCCATGAAACGAAAAACTTTCTAAGTTACTCTTAAGCTAGCAAGGAAGCAAGGAAGTATAATATTCTGAGATGATGCATTGAATTGAAAGGGTAGATGGTCTGTATCCTGATTTGGTTACATGTTACTTGCCTCTTTCTCAGACAGGCACTAGGATCCTGTCTTTTCCACAGTCTCTATATCAGCGATGGCGAATCTTTTGAGCTCGGCGTGTCAGCATTTTGAAAAACCCTAACTTAACTCTGGTGCCGTGTCACATATAGAAATTTTTTGATCTTTGCAACCATAGTAAAACAAAGACTTATATTTTTGGTATTTATTTTATATATTTAAATGCCATTTAACAAAGAAAATTCAACCAGAAAAATGAGTTCACGTGTCACCTCTGACACGTGTGTCAGAGGTTCGCCATCACTGCTCTATATCCTAATTATATTGCTTTCACTTGAGAAAGAGTCCTGTGTATATTATTATTAATCCTATTACTAATAAATCACTATGCCAGTCTTCAAAAAAATTTGCACAAACAAGCTATGTGCACAATACCTTATGGAAAAAAATCAAGACAGCCAGCCTATAAGGCACAAAGAAATCAAAAGCTAAAAGACATTCAACAAAAAGAAAAAAATAGCTGCACGGGGATTTGGGGAAAACAAATGATGTAGGAAAGTGGGACTCGTGGCTTTCCGGTGGAGAGCTCGGCGGTGGTCGGTTCCCTGTGGCTTCTTGTCCCTTCTACCTGTATCTTTAAGGCATTAGCCTCGCTCTCAACCCAAAGTTGACAGTGAGGTGCTGCAGCCCCCCAAAACAAAAATGGAAGCAAACAAACAAAAGATAGTATGCAGTTTTCTAGCAGACCAAATGCATTTTGAGACTCCAGCTTTTCCTGTTTTATATATATAAATTTTTCCTTTTTTACTCCCACCAATGTGGTATTACAGCATTCCTTAAAGAATGCCCGTGTGTGTGTGTGTGTGTGTGTGTGTGTGTGTGTTTTTGAGGGGGAAAATGGAAACGTATAGATGCTTTATTCACTGAACAGTACTCTCTATCACTTTCCTGCCTCTGAGGTCATCTCACAACCAGCAGCGATGAAGACAATGAACACATTTCCCTCTGACAGCTTCTGCACTTTGCTGACACACCCAGTGGCCGGCCACCGTGGCAGCTGTGGGCCAGTTTCTGAGTGTGTCACTGATTTATAAAGGCAAAAGGAGGTTCACTTCCCTCCTGTGTGCTATCTTTTTGGCTTCTCTATCAACTTTTGGGTCTCTGTTTATCCTCTTTAAGCAAGATGTCAAAAACCCAGTGCAAAAAGGACAGACAGACTCGCACCCCCCGCCGAAGTTTCTTTCACCCCCTCATAAGGTGTCTGTGTTGTTTAGTCTGATTGTCTTTCTGTCTGTATCCACTTCATTGGTAAGTCGTAAGTGTAAGTCGAAGCAGAGCAGAAACTCAATGCTATTCTAGAAAACAGCAGGCGTTTCTCTACGTGTACATAAAAGTTATTTCTTATTGAATGAGAACCTTATTACAGTGATATTATAATATAAGGAAGAGGACCTTTTCATCTTATAATAATGGACGGCATGCTCAAGGAACATTCTGTATCGTGAACACTATATAACTACTGGTCTTGCATGATGGTTAATATAAAAGAAATGGGCAGAATTAGCTATCAATCTAGTATAGCCTGATGCTAATTACAATGAAGTCGTGTGCATATAAAGTTGCTTCTTAAACTGGACTGTTCTGATGGCTACAATTTGTAAAGGTCATCCAAATCATATTTAAAGTTCTGTATGTGTAGGGGCGGGGGAGGGGAGTCTTGTTTTAATGAAACGAATGCACTTCTTCTTAAAGACAGTGGTTGGCACTGTCTGTACCACACTCACACATCATCTATCCACAAACACAGCAAACAACACGTTTATTCAGCATCACAATCGCTCAAATATCACTAATTCTCTAGTCATTAGAAGCTTACCAGAAAACATGTACCATTTTATGCTCCGTTTTAATTCTTACTTTTTTAAACAGAGAAAATGGCAATATAAATGAACTTGATTTATCAAGATATCTTCAAAAATGTTCTTATATAAATACCCCAAATTGTGGATCAGTTGGCCCATCGGTTGTTTAAACTCCTGGATTACGCCAGACTGTTGCTATAATAGGTGGAATATAAAAACAAAAATGCTTCAGAGGTACAGGCCTGCTTTCTAGAAAGATGTTTATCAGCTAAAATGCTTAATCCTTTCTACATATAATTTGCCAGTGTAAGACAACTACACAAAAGCATAAATTTGTGTTTGAGAATATAATCTAATTGGCAAAATTTTTTGGACACATTTAATATTTGCTATAATTATAAAATTCAGATGTACTGCTGTAAAAGAATATTCTGGTGTCCAAAAAAGGGAACATTTTAAAGGTGGTTGTGGCCGGAACCGGTTTGGCTCAGTGGATAGAGCGTCGGCCTGCAGACTGAAAGGTCCCAGGTTCGATTCCGGTCAAGGGCATGTACCTGGGTTGTGGGCACATCCCAGGGGGTGTGCAGGAGGCAGCTGATCGATGTTTCTAACTCTCTCTCTCCCTTCCTCTCTGTAAAAAATCAATAAAATATATTTAAAAATAAAATAAAGGTTGTTGTGTTGCCCACTCCAGCTCTACCATTTTATTCCATCTCTCAGGCTGAACCTAAAAAGCACGAGGAAAAATGGAAGAGCATTTCAGTGGGCTTGTGAACATCTGTGGGCATCACTGGAAGCCACTTAATAATCCCAATGAAAGAAGTTCCACATTTTAAAATCTGAGACCTCCTCATGCAAATCATTTTGCCTTGAGCCATTTCAAAAAGAAACGAAGGACCTAGAGGGTTTTACAGAACACTGGTGAGACCGTTGTCAACTTTGATCTGACAGTAATTAGTTAAGATCTTGACTGATCATAGCGCAAGCAGACTCCAAAATCTGGTGCCCAGCTAATATGAAATAGGGCCGCAATTTCTAAGATAAAAATCCCTGCTTTATCTGACATGGTATTTCCTATGTTAGTGGATTATTGAATGGCATATAATGAAAGGATGAATCATTCATTGTCTAGTAAAGTGATTCACCATGATGCAAGTACAGTTTTTACCTCATGTAGAGACATCAAGTTCAACATTAGGTAGTTGTTTACTTAAGCTTAAGTATATGTATATATACATTAAATCAAATATGTCTAAGTTCTTTTTCTGTTTAAAAACTAAGATTTAAGTCCTAGCCGGTTTGGCTCAGTGGATAGAGCCTCAGTCTGTGGACCTAAGGGTCCCAGGTTCGATTCAGGTCAAGGGTGCGTACCTTGATTGCATATCGATGTTTATCTTTGTCTTTCTCGCTCTCTTCCACTCTCCCTAAAAATCAATGGGGGGAAAAAAAATCCTTGGGTGAGGTTTAACCAAAAAAGAAAACACAATCAAACTAAGATTTAAGGAAAATACCTTTTACACTTAATGTAATTATGGGAAATGAGGTGGTCAGCACGAAATGAAGTCTGAAGCTGATGCTGAGATCAAGCTCAGCGCTACACTGAACTTCTAGAAAAAAATGACCTTCCTATTCTATATACGAGGAACTAAAATTTAAAACTCACGCCACAGCCAATCCCTGCAAAGCATTCCCTTCTCCCCACAGGTAGTGGGGAAGGGAGCCCAGATGACAGGACCCCCACCTGAGCCCCAGCTCCCCGGGCAGCCCAGACCCACTCTATCCATCACGGCAGGATAATGCATAGCGGTTGCACCTGTGACAGGCCATGATTGAGTGCTGAACACGGGGCCTGCCTCGCCTGGCGCCTGGCGCATTTGTATTTGTTTGAGAATTTTCAGCACTTGGGGGCAGGGAAGCAGGGATCCCCATTGTATTTTGAAAGAGAAATAATAATGCATTTTGATTATCGAGACGTACCACAAAGGAGAAATTAGACAGCGGAGCGCCCCGGTCCGCTCAGGTGTGCGAGAGCATCCGTGCAGCACAAAATGCAATATTATCGAGCGGTAATTTAGCTCTGATGAGTCCGGGATGCTGACCACGGCCATTCCTTTGGAGACGTCTCACTCACCCAGTCATGAAACGGATATCTGTTCCTTTAGGATCACATGTAAGAACAAGAACAAAAGGTCAAAGCTCACCGATTGTCCGAAACGGCAGTCTAATCCGACGTAGTTTAGGGTGGCAAGGGATCCATTTTTTTTTTCCAGCTTTAAGTTCTCCCTCCATATTTTGGAAACCTCTGGTTTAATATCATAATCAAGTTATTTAAATGGTTTAAGTGGCATCATCTGCTTTTTAAGACATTGCAATTACAGTGTATACAGTTTAAATCATTTTCAGCTAATTCAGCCGGTTCCTGAAAGCATGTCATTGGTGAAAATGTCTTTTAAAGTGCCTATTTTACAGCATTCGGGTTTGGGGTTGAGCCTTCTTAGTAGAACCGTGTTTTTTCTATTACAGAAGAAAAACATATTGATACTATATTGTACTATATACAGTGTTCACATAATTCGAGTTGGGGGTTCTTAACTAACTTACATGAATGCTTTTGTTAAAATAAATAAGATTACCTGTCAAGATTGTCTCACAAAGAGAAAAACACCCACCACACTGATGGAAAACTCACTCCCCTTCCCCAAAGGGGCAGGAGGGAGACCATTAACAATAAAAACACAGCCAATCTGGATATGTAAACTCCAGTTCTCAGGTTAGCATTTCCACTTGGTCTGAACCCATTCCCCGGGGCAATGGGACTTTTTTAAAAAAAAAAATGTTGTGCTGGCGAGTGAGTGGACTGTGGACCGCTGTCCTGTCCCTTTATCTTTCCTCGTCGGGACTGTGACCTTCACTTTCCCTGAGTGCAGGCCAGTGGGATCGGGAGGAAGAAATGGAGGGGCTGCGGGTGCGGAGCGCTGCGAGTCGGAGGACGACCGGGTTCCCAGGGTGGCGCGTGTGCAAACACAGGTCCCTTCGCGCCATTGTCCCCACCGCGGGGACTGGCCCAGGCTCCACGCCTTTGCTGACCCGTCGCCAGCGAAGTTGCGCGAATATAAATAGACGGAGGCGGCTGATGAAGGAAAGGGGGTCGGGTTTGCTTTCTCCGGGTGCCTGGAGGGCGGGGACGAGGCTGAGGGTGTGGAATAAAGTCAAGTGCGGGCCAGTTTGGCGCAAGAACGCAGAGCCTTCGCCCCGAAGCCCTGGTGGCCAGCTGGGCGCGCCTCTCTAGACCCTAAGCCCCTGTCCTGGGCAGCAGGCCACCGGCCACCCCAGGTGGGAGGTCTGGCGCCCCAAAATGGGGAGCCAGGCGGGCGGATCCGCGGGCCATGCGCTCGGCTGGGAGTCGGGAGCTTTGGGGGCACTTGCTCCCGGCCTGGCCGCGGGTCGCCCCCTCCTCCTCCGGGGCCTGTCGCTCCCTTTCCCGGCAGGTGGCCTGGGGGGATGGATTGGCCCCTGGAGTTGGCCGCCCCCTCCCCTGCCGTCCAAGGCGCGGCAGTTTCCATCCCCAAAGTGGGGGCGCTCCGCCATCACCCCCGCCCCAGCTGAGCAGCCGGAGTCGGAGTCTGTCTGCGGGGCCTGGAGGTGCAGGCGTGGGGGGTGGAGAGGGGGCGGCCTCCACTCCTTTCAAGAGGGGTTCCCAGCTCTCGGCGGTGCGGGGCCCCCCCGGAAGGCCCCCAGCTCACCCCTTAGAGGGTGAGGGCCCTTAGACAGAGCTGGGCCAGCGCCTGACCGCCCCGCACGTCCTCTCCCGGGCAGCCCGCGGGGTGCGCCCCTTTGCGCCTCACTCGGGGGGACTCCCTTTGCGCGCAGAGTTCCCCATAAACCCTGAGGCTCAAAGGAACCTCACGGTCCTCCGCCTGATCACCGATCGGCTGAAAGGGGAGCCGGCAAACAAAAGCCTGGCGGGCAGAAAGCTACTTCTCCGCCGGCAATGAACTTGGGGCGCGCGGAGCCGGCAGGGCAGGCGGCGCGAACGGACCGCGAAGGGGAAGGGGAGGCGGGATGGAGGGAAGGGAGACACATCTGGGGCCTGGACCATATGCCGAGGCTGCGTCCGTCCTTCAAAGCGGGGATGCCCTTGACGGGATCTGTCAGGCGGCCTGCGGGTGACGGCCAGGCTGTTTGGCGGGGAGGGGGTGGGGGCAGGCCCTGGGGGGCGCAGGGGGGCCGGGAAAGGAAGGGAGGAAAGAGGGAGTAGCGGCGGAGGGAGAAGCTGCGGAGGGAGAAGCGGGGGCGCAGGGCCAGAGGCGGGAAGCTGGTGGCCCAGGGGGCAGCCAGGTCAGCGGGGATAGAAGCAGGAGGGACAGAGGAGAGGGGAGGAGACAGAAAAAGAAAAAATGGAAAGGAAACGAGGAACTCCATTGGAGAAGTAAGCGAGGTGTCTTAAGGGTGCAGGTCTCCACTTGTAGGAGATGTAGCTTTGACCTACCCCCATCACCACCCGCTTTCTTCTTCCTCTCCTGCCTGCCAACCGCCGAACTGATTAGACTGTAATTAAGGCCATAAAGCCCTCAGATTATCCACCTGTTTATTCACCAAAGTCGGGGTCTCATCAAGCAAATTAGCTGCTTCCCGGCTGCACATTGGGCCTGGAGCTCGCCTGATTAATGGAGTTTATTGGGAGCTGTTAAAAGCATTAACTGGAGAAAATCTCGGCAATTCGTCATATTTAAGGGATGGAAATTAAATCTTGCTATGCAAATGAGAGAAAAAAAATGCCAACCATTTTGGGGGGCTCCTCTCTGCGTATTCTTTTTTCCTTAAAATCCTGCTCAGGAAATGGGCATGAACACAGGAAGCCACTGTGTGGACCTATAGTTACCAAACCTCTTCCGTGCCACCTTATGTGGCATCATGATGATGGGGCGTGGAAACGAAACAAGAATACCCCGGTTCCCAACGCAGAGAGATTGCTTTAGGGCACCTATTCCCAACAAGAAATCCCATTTTTTTATTTTTTCAAAATATATTTCATTGATTTTTCCACAGAGAGGAAGGGAGAGGGACAGAGAGTTGGAAACCTCAATGAGAGAGAAACATCCATCAGCTGCCTCCTGCACACCCCACACTGGGGACGTGCCCGAAAGCAAGGTACATGCCCTTGACCGGAATCGAACCTGAGACCCTTCAGTCCGCAGGTCGATGCTCCATCCACTGAGCCAAACCGGCTAGGGCAAGAAATCCCATATTTAAATTAAAGTTACTATATCCGCCTACAGAAATGAGACAGGCACAGTAACTTTTACGGGAGGAGTCCTTCAAGCGGTTCAGCATTTGATTTGGGGGGTGAGTGATAAAATCAACAGCTAACAGAGAGGGGGGTCCCCGTTAGGTAAGAGCCCTAAGGAAGGAGCACGGGAGAAACAGTAGAGGGACACGAGAAAGCACCCCAAGTAACGCAAGATCCTTACGAGGTGACCATGGAAAATGTCTAGGTACCCGGTGTCTGTCCTCACCACTGTGGTTCCTGGGACAGATCTGGAAAGGGGTGGTTAAGGAAATAAACCAGGGAAGTAGGGAAAATCACTCACGTGGAAAGAGGAAGCCTCGTGCAAACTGAAGACATAATCCAGACTTTGTCAGGTACAGACCAACTGTAGGTGCTGCCTGGTGAGCTCAGGGCCGCACAAATGCTTCTCAATGGTGGCAGTTACGGAAGGGAAGGGAGGGTGATCTCAGGATGGTAGTTATTCTTGAAAAGGGGGAAGTCTTTTCTACAAGAGTGAATAACAAAAGTCCATGCAGGGGTGTCTTCTATTTCAACAAACTATGGGAAATAAAAGTGTGCAATGAATACATGTTTTAGTCGATGCAAAACTTACAGTGATGTTATAGTGTCGAAATTTATTTTTACATCTTTTAAATCATTTTTTTGAGGGAGGCATTTGAAGGATTACTGTACTTTGAAATGTTTACATTATATATTTGTTTAAGGGCAATATTACATGTTTTATAATTTCAGTAAAGTGTATTACATTAGAGCATATAAAACCTAAATGCTATATGAGACCAAAGGGACAGGCACAGCTAATAGAAAATTAGGTAAGTTTTAAGAACATTTTACCATGATATCTCTTAGGGATTCAGTTCTAAAACAATGGATGGATTTTTACAGTTTTTCTCACTAATGTTGTTCTTCAAAATAGATTTTCTAGATAATGCTAACTTTCGTTATTTTAAGAACTTAGTGTTGAGATTTATTACTTTCTCTCACATTAATGAAGTCAGTTGGCTAAGGAAAGTAACACATCATTTATATTAACATTTATCTTTTAAAAGTTCAAAGAAATCTCACTTTATATTGCCCTCCCCTTTGGTACCTATAACATAGCTTTGTGAAACTAAAAAAAATGTAAATTTGACATCTAGAAAATTCAATAGCAACACCCCAAAGCATAAGTAACCTTGAAATATCATCTTCATTTGTCTTAATCTTTAAAAATCTTTACATTATTTGTTTACTGTCTCTGCAAAATTCCAATATATTCTAAATATGACTCACAAGAATCCCATTCTGTTTCTATCAATACTCTGCATAACATTACTTGGCTTATAACGCGATGATTTTGTAACAAATGAACTGTAAACCTTTTAAATGATAATTTTATTTGCAGTATTAAATAGAAATAGTTCTAGATAGTGATTAAAATTTCTTGGTAAATGCATCTGATATTACCCACTGAATTATTTAAAATGCAGTTTATACTCATGTTCTAAGTATTAAGAGATTATTCAGTAAAAAGGCATATATGTAAATTTAATTCATTTTTGTCCAGGCCTAAAGGACTTATTTCTCCCATTTTTTCTGCTAAGGATTGTTCATTTGTTAGCTTTGCTTTTAATATTTGGCTTAAACACATAAATGAGAGAAGAGAGACAAGTAAATTCTCTAAGGACATTTAAAAACACAGTTTGCTGTGAACGCCATTTTAGAAACTATTTTTAAAAACACATTTTGTTATGAACACCATTTTAGAAACTACTTTGTCTCACATTTTAAAAATCAAAACATTTAAAAATAACATGACGCTGGTCTGAGAATACTCGTCATCACGGTATCACGTGCCTAGCAGTTCATTTAGAATATGGGTCTTTCGGTACAGAGATAATTTACCTTTAGCGTTGGCTTCTGAGCCACAAACGAATGGCTATCACTTATTGTGATTTGTATTTCTGATCTCTCGAGTGGTATAGATAAAGAAGGTCAAAGTGGTCCCGGATGAAAAGAAACTTTTAAAGCGTTTGGAAAAGTTAATGAATTAGGTTTCCTTTCACGGGAAGATATGAGGATTGGGAGATGGACTCCCCTCAGCCAAATCAAGAATATTCACAGTTGACAGGAAAACCCTAAGTTTCTTTCTCCCACCAGATAAACGCCCTCCCATAGCAGGAGACGGTAATTCGCAGGAACGATTCTATTAGCTCAGAATACGTTTCATACGCAATAAACTTTAAGTGGACTCAACCTGATTTTTGCAGTGTTCGTTTCCTGTAGCTCTGTGTGGCTGCTTCGGAATGCTTCTTAGAGAAATATCCCCTTCACTTGACAAAACATGTTTTCCACTGTGAAGAAAATGACAATGTTACTCTTAATTATTGCTTTTAAGCTTTGCAGTAGTAATGAAAGTTCCATGAAATGAACAAAAGTAAAAAAAAAACCCATTCTTTCCTTACTAGCCCTTAAATGATTTATGAAATAAAAATGCTACTTCAGTTTGCTTTGTATAACCAGTCCTTCCTTCACCAAAGAGCCTCTATTTTATTAAATATTACTAGGATATAAAAGCAGCTCTGTCTGTATCCATTTTGGGGGATTTTGGTAAAAATTCAGTAAAAACAAAGTGTTCGGGACAGTGATCATAGGTAAATAGGATCAATTGGCTTTAAAAATATTTGTATTTGTTTTCATAGAACAGTATCTGGAATAAAGAAATAGGGCATCTACATGCTTTAAAGAAAAGCCAGCTTGTTCATAATATTCAGCCAGTTCACTTAAAATACTCTATTTCATATTTGGGGTTCTCAGAGCTTCTCTGTGGACTCTCACTTAAATCTAAGCATTTAAGTTCAAACTGTGTTTCAGTCCCTTTAACACTGTAAAATTACTAATGGAAAAATAGGTACAGAAAGATAATGAAGTTGGAAATATTTTCCTTCTCAAGCAGGCAAATATGGCTCAAATGATGTATGTTTTACACTTTTATATTTCCAGGGCAACATTTTGAGTCTAGAAAGGTCAGTACTGAGATTTTATTTTGATACATGGTATGACCTAATTCTTTCACATTTTGCAGGAATCTAAAGGGGGTAGGTGGTGTCTCCATCCTTTTTTTTTTTTCTTTCTCTGATGTAAGTCGACCCTGCCATAGCTACGATGCCTTCCCATAACTGTCGTGTGATCAGTGGGTTTGAAGTGTGGGATGCATCAATTATCGTAAGCAGAGCCCCTGCGTAGATCATGCGAAAGCAAACTCGGGATTCTAAAATGAAAATCTGACCAGAGTCTCAATGATGGGGGTTAACTCCTGACTATCAGGAAAAGCAAAGTTTTATCCACGTCCTAAGGTACACGTGGATATTCGTTAAAAGAGGTCAGATTGAAAGAGGCATCAAAAGGGACATCTAGTCGCCCCATTAAAGGTAAAAATCGATGATAAATTTGTCTAGTTTATGTCAAAAAGAGGAAGATTCCAGAAGCCTATTTCACGAAATGGCAATATATTTGTGATTGAGAAGTAACGGTATGAACAATGAAAAATAACAAAGTCTTTTTTTGTATTTGTATTTTGAACTCTTTCAAAATAAAAAACAATCAAGAAAGAAATTAGGACAACCCATGGTCAGTTTCAGCAATTCTTGGAAATGGATATTTTCCAACTGGGGAGAACAATGGAATGCAAAGTTTTCACAGAACCAGAGGAGGAGAAAAACATTAATTTCACCATTTTTTATAACACTGCCCAGAGGCAGGCAGATTCTAGCAGGATGGGGAGACTGGGTTTAAATAATGGAGTTCCCTCATGCACATTCCAGCAAGTTCTGCTTGATTTTCTTTCTTTTCACATAACCGTCCTTTGTTAATTTGTCATAACTCGTTATTTAGTAATTTTACAATTTACTATTGTAAATGCCACAGCGGAAACATAAATTCTTGTGGCCAGTATGTGCCCTTACCAGTTTTCTAAGATACTTCAGTGCGTACGCTTATGACAGGGTTTATGTGTCATGTTAAAAGAAAAAACACAAAAATGTTGTGAATGATCTAAACAAGACCTGCTTTTTTTCTGGTTTATCCTGTTTCAATCACACACTTCTTATTTAGATTATGCATCGCATAGAATCAGATATTAATTAAACCAGCACCTAGTAAAGTCTTAATATACATAAAAACTACAATACTGATGTTCTTTCATTATTTTTACATATTGTGTCTTAGACTATATTACTATTTAATTTCAGGCATTATATACAAAAATTAAAATCCTGATCCTTTAAACACATGAAATATAGTCTTACACTAAATTCAATATTCTCAACACAATATAAATTTATTCTTTTACTGAGTTATATATAATTTTAATAACTTTTATTTATTTGAGCCGAAGTATATACAAAATAAAAAGTATAGAATTCTGTTTAATTTTTGCCATTTAAAAATGTTAAATTAAGGTATACTAAAGTTTGAGTTTAACTTTCTATAAGTCCCAATATTGCTAAAATGAGACTATCTTTAAGAAACAAAAAAATAGCTTTACATTCAAATGTCATTCACTTATTTATAATGACTCCCAAAAATGTAAACAACTGCTTTTTTTTTTTTGATTATGTCAACATGTTTCTGATATGGCTTTTTTATTTTTATTTTTTGCTTTTAATCCAAATCAGTTAGGAAAATCTAGTTTGTATCCACCAAGGGTGTTTTTTCTGTCACTAAATGGATTATTAATTTAATTTTAAGGGAATGAAGTTTGTGTAAGAAAAAAAAAGCTGTTTACCATTAATAAACTGTAATTCTTCTTACAAAAAAAAAAAAAAAAAATAAAAAAAATAAAAAAAAAATAAAAAAATAAAAAAATAAAAATGTTAAATTAAATATGCTAAATCAAATTATACTTATTTCTCCAATAAGAAAATTAGGAATTTTGGCATATATATTTTTAGATATTAGTGAAAAATAACACCCATGCAATAGTTAGATTTCATGTAAAAAATATACTCAAATAGTATTTTCCCACCAGGTTTTTTCAAATTAAAAAAAACCACTTTTTATATTCTTAAATTTTCATTTTCCATTTTTTTCTATGTTGTTTTAAATATAGCCTTATTTTTGCCATAAATTTATGTCACTTCTTTTCAAACGAAGAGCTCTCTTACTGATGTGCATGTAGGAACAAAAACAGACATCTCAAAATAAATACAAATCTCACAAGAGGGAACCGGAAGAGGAGTACTTACATAGAAACTGTGAGTGTGGGTCTGAAAAGGGCTAAATCAATGTCTACGAGTTCAATTCAAAGGCCAGTTTTTAAGTCGTGTGCTGGAATTGAAAAAGAGAAATGATTTCGGGACAGTGAGCATTTACAGATAAAATACCTATCGCTACACTGCCAGGCAGGAATTTAGATTTGCAGTAAAAGTCTGCCACCTGGTGGCAGGAAAGGGGAGTATCAGAAGAGAAGGCATCTCCTGGCTTTTATATAATAAAAACCAAATAAAAAGTTAGAGAATTCTTTCTATTTTTTAGACACTGAACATAACCTCCCTTGAATGATTTTACCACGAGTCCTCTTCTATATTTCTATTTCCTAAGTATTGTTTGTATTCAAGATGTTTTTTAAAATAGGATGGAAAATACTAGTTTGCAGTTATTTGTAAAATAATGTTCACTTAGAAATAGTTTAATACTTGATTTATAGAAAGTTATTTTTATACTACACCTTTGAAAAATAAATGAACCTTTTCTAAATCTCCCCAATAAACAAAAGAAAACATTTAAACTTCACCAAGACAGCTAAAGTCATTTTTAAACGAGAACATAAAGAATGACAACATGAAGATTTTCAACTTTCAGTTCAAAGTTAACCCTCGTTCCTGAGAAACATTAAAAAGACAATTCATAGGAAAGAAGCATTGAGAAGTAATGTGCTCTTAGCCATGATACTACCTTTTTATTAAACGGTCCACAGAATCACAAAATTGGTTCAGCAAACTATGTCCCAAGACTAACAGCCCACTACAGTGAAATATGTTTATACTATCTAACAGTAACCCTGCTTCAATTATGCAGTAAGTAAATCACAATCACAATTTTAAAAAGAAAATGAATAAAAGTAATAGAAAAATCTAGTTTCTGAAATATTACTAAGGCATTTCCTCTGATGATTGAACATTATTAATATTGTAATACTTTCTAAAAATATTGCTGTATCAGAATAAGAACTTTTTAAAAAATATATTTTATTGATTTTTTACAGAGAGGAAGGGAGAGGGATAGAAAGTTAGAAACATCAATGAGAGAGAAACATCGATCAGCTGCCTCCTGCACACCCCCTACTGGGGACGTACCTACAACCAAGGTACATGCCCTTGACTGGAATCTTACCTGAGACCCTTCAGTCCTCAGGCCAGTGCTCTATCCACTGAGCCAAACCAGTTAGGGCAAGAACAAACTGTTTTTAAACCCAAATGGTTCTAAGTTCTCCAGATCAGGGTGCTGCCTCCCTCTGTGGTATCCACCTAATCCACAGAACCAGCGTCCCAGAGATAATGTTAATGTTTTGCAGTGCCAACACTAAGTATGTCCTGGAAATTGTTTTTTCTAGAAATGCTACTGAGATACAATACAGACTATTATTAAACATATGTATTTCTTGTTTGATGGTTGATCTAATGTTAGCCGGCCCCAACCCCAGTCACTCTCTGTACAGTAGCCTATTTTTTCCCATAGCACTAAACACTATCTAAAATTATTTTGTGTGACTCTCTTGTTTGTCATCTATCTCCCTCACTAGCATCTAAACTCCTTAAGGACAGGGACCTTTTTGCCATTTTCAGAGGGGTATCCAAAATGGCTAGAACCATGTCTGCGTATAGTAGCTGCTAATTTAACATGTTCATTTTCAATTAAACTAATTTTTTTTTTATTCAGTCGTGTCATTTGCCCTTAGCCACTCCATTTAGAATTGACGCCTTACTAGAATTAGATTCGTGGTGTCAGAAGGGCGTTTAGAGTTCATTTAATCTCGTTCTATATCATCCCTGTGAGATACTCACGTGGCTCCTGCTAGCATTTCCACCTCAGGACGTTCATCACATATTCAGGCAACCCGAGTCATTGTGGGAAAGCTCTTCTTTTTAATAAGATCTTTCTTGTAATGACCTGAAAACCTGTCTTGCTGGTCCATTCTCACCAGGTCCAATTTGCTCTATGGGACTACAAACCCAGGTCAAGTTCTACCTAATTCCTCTCCCAATATGTGTTCTCTCTCTCCCTCTCTCTCTCTCTCTCTCTCTCTCTCTCTCTCTCTCTCTCTCTCTCTCTCTCTCTCTGACACACACACAATTATTTCCCTCTTTGAATAAAACATTACTGGCATTGTCTGTTCACTCTGCGAGGTGATAATCCTAGCTCTCATGTCCACACAGTCAAACAGGAGACAGATCATTAAACATATTATGGTCATAACACGTGTTCAGCACAATACCTGAAGAATTACAAGATCAAAAAGAACCAAAGTGAAACCTGGTCCGGAAGAGAGGAAGCCCCGGGTGGTGGCGATTCAAACAGAAGGGGGTACAATGTTACCCCCTTCTGCATCACCCCACAAGAGGTCCGCGACGTAGAAACACCTGTGAAACTGGACTTGTGTGTGTTTGTTTTCGTAGATACGACAACATGGATGGCCTCAGCAGAGTCACACGGCATGAGGACAGTCTGCCAAGAAGACCCTATGACACCTGGTTTACTTACAGATAAGACTGGATGTTACCACCATCTGCTGGAATGTTGTTCCCATTTTTCTCTGGTCTTTTGAAAGATTGGATTGATTTTGTATTTTCCTAATAAGATAATTCTCATAAAAGAGTTTTGTGTGTGTGTGTTGAGAGCTTGTTTATTTCTAACATATACTTTTAGTTTCTTATTGCAATGGTTTTCTTTATAAGCATTTAAATAATCAATCAGATGCATAGCTTCTGAAATGAAATAATGCATGTCACCAGCCATATCACACAAAGTTGTTGATCGTAATATTTTGAAGGGAGATGCATATATATATATATATATATATATATATATATACACACACACAAATATATTTATAACTAGACATAATCAGGGTGAAAATGAACTGTTATAAGGATTTGCTTTTAAAATTTTGTTTTTCTCCCAAGTTTGTTACTGACCTTCAATCTTAATATTTTTTTGTTTTCAAAACATTAAAATATGCCTGCCACTTCTTGCCTTGGTCTAGTCCAAAAGGCCAAATGGCACTTCTAAAATACTAGTCCATATTGCCTATATGGGTGATAGAACTATCTGTGTATTTGTACATTCCGCTTACGTTTCTACTTTCCCCCTAAATTTTCTTTAATGAGCGTGTTCTTCAAATAGTTCTTTAAATAAAAAATAATTTCTTGTCAACTGTGTCCAGTTACATTACCTGCTGCCTCATCTAAATCAAATAAAACAAATTTATGGAGCCTGAAGTTCCCCAGTCTCAGATCATAGCAATGACACCTTTTTTTTTTTTTCCCCCTTTCAGTATCTTCCAGCTCAACCAAGAAATAAGCAATTTAAATAGAGAGAAAGGACTCCCTGGTCAAAAATCTTCAGGTCAATGATAAGGAATAGATGATATTTTAGAGTTTAAATATTTATCAAAGATTAAGATGACGATCAATTCACTAAATATATATTCTTGCAACCATACTTGATTTTCGTCAATGCTAACATAGCCTATGTTTGAGTTAATTGATGATTTCCTGGAAATCTGTTTCACAGTATAAAGAGAAATAAAAATCTTTTCTTCAAGCATCTGTAATATATCATGCCTGGAGCCTACTAACATCAGACCTAAAGATAAATCATATAGCCCAGCTGGTTGGTTCAACAGTTGAGCATCAACCCAGGAACCAGGGGGTCGCTGGTTCGATTCCCAGTCAGGCACATACCCAGGTTGCTGGCTCGATCCCCAGTGGGGGGAGGGGGTGCAGGGGGCAACCAATCAATGATTCTCAATATTGATGTTTCCATCTCTCTCTCCCTCTCCCCTTTCTCTCTGAAACCAATAAAAATATATTTAAAAGTTAAACATTTAAAATAAAAGGTGCCCTAGCCGGTTTGGCTCAGTGGATAGAGCATCGCTCTGTGGACTGAAAGGTCCCAGGTTCGATTCCACTCAAGGGCATATGCCCGGGTTGTGGGCTCGATCCCCAGTGTGGGGTGTGCAGGAGGCAGCCAATCAATGATTCTCATCATTGATGTTTCTCTCTCTCTCTCCTTCTCCCTTCCTCTCTGAAATCAACAAAAATATATTTTTAAAAAATAAAATAAAATAAAAGGTATATCATGTGTAGTCCATTCATCTGTCCCTCCAGCTTTCATGGGGACCCGTGGTCTGAGAGGATAACTGTGACCTGGAAGGGTAGCAAGACTCTGTATAATCCACAAAACACACTAAGTAGACAGTGTTTACAAGCTGAAAAAAATTAATATCAGTTTCCCAGTCGCACTAACACATCTACATTCGTTAGCAGAGCTCGATTTAAGACTTTGAAGTAGTTACAGAACATGAGCAATTCAGTGCTCTGCTTTTTAGAGGCGACTACCCCTAAAGCAAAACCCTCGTGACACGCCAGCTGACAATCTCGCGTGCATCGGAAGGACAGAAGCCCGTCTCTAGTGCACAGATGTCCGGGCTGCTGACCTCTCAGGACTGTTGGCAGGAACACGGTGAGGGCTGTAAGGACTGCTTTTCCCTATCAGGCTGACCAACAGCTCAGAGCCGATGGGATTCTCCATCCATCACCTCGGTGACAATGGCCGTGTGGACGGGGATTTGAGAGAGCCGATCTGCTCTGTCACCGTGGGCTCTGCGAAGAATACTGTTCTTTTTTTTTTTTCTTTTTCTTTCTTTCCTACTTTTCTTTAGGCCATCTCATCCATCAACCCAACTGCACAACAATTGAGACCCAAGACTAAACAGCACACACAATGACACTTGGCTAAATGATGGGGCGCTGCGAGACCCCCAGGGACTCGTAGGAACCACTGCGTTTGATTTTTAAGAATCACCACCAGTTGTTAGACACCCGTGTAAACAAATGAGAATCTGGCATCGAGCGCCATGTCCACAGGGTCCCTGGTATTGGAAGGACTTTACGTATCCAGTGTAACAGGATACAGTTCCAAAACGAGATACCTGTGAATCAACAGCATTCTGAATCAATCAAGATGACGTGCTTAGGAAAGAAACAGGCAATGCAGAAGGAAGTTCAAGGTAGAGAGACCAGACGCGGGCGTGTGAGCGGCAGACG